GGGGTAGTAGGTGAGCAGACAGAGCAGTGAGGTGGGGGGAGGTACGATTCTGACCTGCGATTCTTTGGAGCGTTGAGGTCGACTCCCAATATTCGCAGCTGCGGTTTCCCCCTCCTCCTTTTCTCCCTCCTGCTCCTCTTCTCCAGGTAGGCCCCTGCGGTGCATTTCCGCCTCTACCATCGCCAGGAACTGGATATCATCTAACCCCTGCACACACACATGGCTCCCCCAGCTCCCCCAGCTCCCCCAGGCCCCCCAGGCCCCCCAGCCGCCTGTGTGTGTACACACACAGGCGGCTCACGGGCGTTGGACGGGTGATGTTTTTTGTCAGATTTTTGTTAACTTTTAACCTCCTATCACAAAATTGGTTAGTTTTACCTTACGGATTACCCCTGGGGTAGGAAAATAAAAATGTTACCCGCCGCCTACTCAGTTGTCATTTTGCTTCAAGAAAAACTCTTTGGTTGGGTTTGAACCTTTGACTCCGGATGGTGTTCAGCCGATTCGCGGTCGACGCAGAGGTTCACGTTGTTGTGTGCGTTGTTCTTTGACCGCGAGGTTGGGCGTTAGTGCCTTGGACTCTTCGGTTGTCCTTTTCCTTGGGATTGAAATGCCTCGGGCAGCGAAGGATGGCCAGCTCCCTGCATCTTTCCGACAGGAAAGAGCCGGCCAGTCGTCTGTAACGGGAGCTCCGTGCAATTTATCCCTGTCCAAATGCCTCCAAAACCCACTGGCTTCATAGACTGGAGCTCACAAGAGCGCATATGTGATTAAAAGTTAACGAAAAACTGTCAAAAATGTGCTTGGATGTAACGACCTTTCACAAATGTGATGTTTTATGTTACCCGTCGATTCCCCGTGGCTGGGGGGCCTGGGGGGCCTGGGGGAGCTGGGGGAGCTGGGGGAGCTGAGGGAGCTGAGGGGGCTGGGGGGCCTGAGGAGGCTGGGCATGGTCAGTATCTTGAACGCTGACGGGTTAAGCAGTAGTGATGTTTTGTAGTGCTCGATCATAGTCGCCTGCACGTACTCAACGTTGGCCCCTACCGCAGTGGTATTGTCGCATAGGTACTTGTAGTTACCAACACCGAACTGTACTTGGTAGCTGGTAACAAAATGACCAGTGATGATATCATCATCCTTTTGTGATTTATTCCATGATTCACCTTCTTCAGCATCGTGCGCATCCACTGGCTGTGAAGCACCCTCTTTAGGACGTCTTCGGATACCTGGAGGCCCCGCGTCTGTCGAGTCGTAGGCAGCGCTGCAAGAATTCGATAGATATGACCTGCAGAGTACCTCTGGGGTTCATCGTTCTTCGTTTCGAAGCGTACAAGCATCACTGCCGCCGCGTGCAGCCAGGAATCGGCCTCCTCAGAGGAGGGCCTGCTGGCAGCCATCTTTGTGCCTGATGTAGATAAAAGGAAAGTGGTTGGTCGTCACGGATATCGTTAGTATATACATTAATAAGACTCCTTGTTATAAATGCAACCACTTTGTCTCGAGTCTGCCTGCCAGCTCGAGCCATTTGAAAATCGGACTCACCTGCTTTTCTGAAAACGAGGTGAGATATCTACACCAATAAGGTGCGCGCGGCCGGAATTTTTTGCGGTATAGGTGCAGCCGATATCCTAGAAACAAGCCTGTGCAATCTATAGAGACATTCACGCCGTGTGGCAGGACCTCTGAATATTTGTGTGAAGGTCCTCCCACCCCGCAAAAGGGGCCATTCTCATAATTTTTCAAACCCTTCCGGATCAGTTTCGGCTTCAGCAAAAAAGGGGACTCGAGGGACCAAGAATGTATTCATGTACAACATTCTAAGGATAATCCCGCGTGAAGCGCAAACTCCAAAGGGTGGTCCGGAAGGGTGGGTTGGGAAGGCCGCGAGCGTGACGCCGGGATTTGTGCAGCTGTACAACGACGCAGAGCACTCCAAAAACATGCCGGTAATCATTGATAGTCACTGTAATACATCTATTTATGAGTGAGGCAACTCCGCACAGCTGTCCTGAATTACGCATCGTGATAATAAGGAAAATCGGTAATACCTTAATGATAAAGTTTGGGCCTGTTCCGATCCCCAAAATAAAAGCGCTTTAAAAAAAGGGCAAAAGGTGTTTTTCACTCTCTGTCTGGGAATCGAACCCAGATCTACCGCGATCTAGAAGGATCGGGGTGGGCCTTGTGACAGGCGGTTATACTGACCATTATACTAACAGAGAAGGTGGAGCAGGACTTTTGACGGATACAGGTGGTATATAATCAAGTATGAAGCTTAAATCAATGCCCTCCCCACAAAATCTCATCCCTCTTGGCATCGCGACGTTATTGGAAGCAATCAGGGTCTATGAGCCTATGCCCCCTTCCCCGCCCTTCGTCACTCCACCCGCCCAAGCCATGCCCTCAAGGCTGACGACCCTGCTGTGGGCGCTGCTTCTCGCACTGCTCCGCGGCCAAAGTGACCAATGGATCCCCGCCTCCAACCTCTCCGCCTGGTACTCGGATTTCGACCTGTGCCTCGTGCACTCCTCCTCCAACGGCTCCATCGACGAGATCTCGCGCCAGTGCGAGAAGCAGTCCGCTCCCAAGGCTCCCACGCGCTGTCGGGCGGGCAACACGTGGCCCTCCCAGGCTGCCTACTGCTCCGCGCAGGACCTACCCTTCAGCGAGCGACTCAGCATGCAGCGCGCGCAGCAGGGCTACGACCAGCCCAGCGCCCAGCCCCTGCGGTCCTTCTTCGGCCGCCTGGCGCAGGAGGGCGGGGCTCTGCTGATAGTGGGCGACAGCGTGATGCAGCAGTTCTACAGCGCCCTTGCGTGCGAGCTGGAGAGAGAGGGGGTCTGGACGGACACCTCGAGGTAGAGAAGTCGCTGCAGAGTCTGACCACCCTGACCCTACTGACCCTACTGACCTACTGACCTACTGACCAACCTGAACCTCCCCCCCCCT